GGCCCCCTGGCAGGAGAAGAGGAAGGTGTCGCGGCAGACCCGCAGCGCCGGGCCCCAGGCCTACTGCCGCCTGCAGGAGCTGATGATCGACCTGCACTACGACAAGTTCGTCATCCTCCCGGACAAGTACATGGCCAACAACTGCGAGGGCCCCTGCCGGCGCCCGCTCTCCACCCGCATCCCCGACTACTCCTCCCACTCGGTGCTGCTGGTGGACATGCAGGAGCGGGGGGCCCCGCTGCAGCGCAGACCCTGCTGCGTGCCCGTCAAGTACTCCGACAAGGAGATCATCAGCATGACGGCCGAGGGCGTCCAGGTCACCACCTTCCCCAACATGGTGGCAGAGGAGTGCGGCTGTCGGTAGGGCGCCCGGCCTGTCCCGATGCTCCCTGCCGGCCTGGGGCGCCTGGAGGGGGGCTGTGGGCTCTCCAGCTGCCTTTCCCCCAACGTGCTGGCTCGTTGCCTCCCTCTCGCTGGGCCTGGTGCTCCGGGAAACTGAGCGCAGCCCCAGGCTTCTGCCCCCGGCACCGTGACGGCAGCAGGGCCTGCGCCTGGAGCTCCCAGTGCAGCCATGGGCCAAATCTGACCCCCTCTGGCTCTGCTGGATGTGAGGGACGGTGTTGGCAGCAGCCCCCCAGCCTCTCCCTGCCTAATGCTGGTATGGGCAGTTATTTATCGACAGTGTCAGGGTTTCTGCCTCGCTCTTCAGTCCTGGGGGCCAGTCCGGAAGGGGCGGGTCTGTCTCCGCAGTGGGCAGGAGCAGGATGCAAACCTGCCCGTGCCCCTGAGGATGCCGTGGGTGCCGCGCAGGCCACTTCATGGCGGAAGCAGAGATTCCAGTCCTGCGCGGAGGCAGCGGAGGGAGCTGGAGTGAGAGTCCGGGGCTGGCAGGGCAGTGGGTAGAGCACAGGGCAGAGGCCTGTGGAAGGCAGGAAGAACAGGCTGGTGGAGCAGGGGCGTGGCGCGTTGGCAGGGCAGGGGGTGACAGGACAGGGGCGTGGCGCGTTGGCAGGGCAGGGGCGTGGCGCGTTGGCAGGGC